GTATTAAAGCCCTGCTTCTGTCACTGTTTACTCAGTGGTATTTCTGAGGATTAATATTGATTAACACTGAGCAAAATGTGATCGATCGCTGTCTAATGCAAATAAGCTTTTGATAAGAAACACAAATAGGATCCACAAATGAACCATTGAAATAGAAAATTAATAGCCAATCCTAATGAAGCATCAAGAAGAACCATGATAATTAATCCCCAATTTCAAGAAATTACTTCTGTACAGTAAATACACATTGTAAAGCCACAATGATTATCTAGAATCTGTATGAGATTATTTCTTCTGCCTTTGTTTTAAATTTTGTTCATATTTCAAGACAAGAACACCTCAACACCAGCAGTTGTCATCAACTGGCAGATAGGACATACATTAACTAACCCTTCACAATCTTTACATAAACACAAGTGTCTACAAGGCATCAATAAGATGCATACCTCCTTCAATTTGCACACCTTGCACTTCAAATTGGCTTTTTTCGCCGATGTACCTTTCCCAGAACCACTAGGAATGCTGAGCCAATTGTTTGGATCAGTGCAGGACACAGCATCGTCTAGCTCATTGTCTCCTGTACCTTCTTTTCCTTGTTCTGCAGACTGCATCGCTTGCTGGAGGTTCGTTCTTAATGTGCTGACTAAAGATTCGTTACACTTGGCTCTATAACACCAATTTTGTGCTTCCGATGTAACTTGCTTCATTCGTTCAACCAGTTCTCGGTTCTTCCTGTTTATGTTCTCTAACTCAATATCCTTCTCTTGCAACTTAGTGCCGACATTTTTCTCAAGTGCAGTCACCAACGAAGCCATATGTCTCTGTTTTATGTCTCTCACACCTCTAGCCCAAGTTTCTTCCTGTAAAAGGCCAATGCAATAACAACATTAAATAAACTTGTGCAACATATGAAGTTTCAGTAATTTGTACATGGGTAGTTGTTCCTAAGAGACTGAAGTTACTGTTACCCAAATACAGTTATGACCATTTTATAATTACTTTTTAAGAAGACGCCACATGTTATTCTTTTTCTTTAATATGGCCAAAATATGCATAGGTGTGTGACTGACCAATTCCAAAAATAACCAACTAAATTTCTTACTCCTTCCAGATATTTTGTAACTAATATATCTTATTATCTGCACATATGTTTTCATTTATTTTTTAATATAAACAGAAAGTGCACGATGGTACTATCTCCAGCCACTTCTCTGATTAACAATAGAGCTGCGACAATGGAGCCAAAAAGGGCATCTTATCAGTTTTAAGAGAAGAGAAGGGCAATTAATATAAGCGGGGGAAACAAATATTCATGTGTTCAATAACCATGGGTCATTTTGAGAAAAATCGAGTTGTCTTGTGCCAAAGGAGCAGAGAAACATGAAAAGAATCAAGCGCAACAAAAGCTAGAAAATGTAAAAAACTTGGACACTTTCCTAAAAGAGCCCTTTACTGTTAGGATACAGACAATAACTGAAAAGACAGTCTACAATAAAACAAATTCGATTAGGAAAATGTAGTACCATACCTGAGTCTTAATATATTGATCAAATTCTTTCTTCTGGCGCTCCAGCTCCGTTTTAATGTTGTCACCTAGAGACATCATAACTGATGCTGATGCATTCATACTTCCACTTGCAGAACTGACCGAAGAATTGGGCTCATCATCATCGTATGATAACTTTAAACCAGTTGAAACAAGATTCTGGCCAGGAATATTAGCTGGCCGTTCAGTGTCATCATGAACCACATTGTGGTTCAAGGAAATTTGAAGCTTTTGCTGCCGGGAAACACCTTCAGCTTCCCTGCTTCGTTTATTGTGCCGAATCAGGTGCTCATTTACAAAATTATTTACAGGATCAGCATTGGATCCAAGCGGAACTGTAGCAAAAGAAAAAGCACATTGTAAAGGCTTTTGTATAACAATCTGAGATGAGTTCATTAGAGGTGCAGAAAAATTAACATGCTTAGTATAAGTACAAGAAAATATCAAACTAGATATCGGGTGATGCCTTGAGAATTTTTCTGCAATAGCTCACTGACTCTTGTTATCCTTGAGCATATAATATAGTGCCCACTTTTAACTCTACTTCATTATTTAAAGCTATATTATTGAAGTTAAGCTAAAGGGTTTTTAACCCAAAAAATCCTTCATGTTTACCCATACGCTCAACTGCATCACTAAAATATGCCAGTTAAACATGCACGTCCTTCATATTTACTAAAAGTGACAGGTCTCATCCAAACTCTAATGGAAGTCTATAAACTACTGGTAGACTGCTCACTGAAGCCTCTTTGCATGAAAAACTAAAAACGGGAATTTGGGAAAAACAAAGCTGTATGTTTTTGTGATAGATAGAGGGAGAAAGAAAAGCTACATGTAAACTGAGAACTCATTGGAAAAGTAACAAAGAACAGATCTGATAGTCTTTAAAATTCTTAAAATTAGCTTACAAGAACCTTGTTGGGAGAGCACTTGAAGTGGTATTACCAATATCCTAAAGTGTCCAGGTTGGAGCAATTTCACTAAGAAGCTTGAAATTATTCAGTGAAAGCTTGAATTTCAGTTAACGAGAAAAACCTCCAAAAATATGCTAGTATTACTTTGTAGCTCTAACTGATTCCTCTGTTTAAAGAAAGTAACCAAGACTTGAAGGTATTGTCATGAAATAACACCCCACTCAGTCTCCACTCAAATTTCATTGAAGGATCTCATGTTTCTTGTTGGGACTGTGTTAGTTACGAGTAAATAGTCGGAGGCCGAATTGTAGTACTGGAGCCTTAGTCAGTCTTGAACTCGGCAACCTCCATAGCCACGGCGTTGACCAAAAGGGAAAATACGCTGAGAGAGGTGACCAGTCCACCTTTTTGGGTGCATCCAGCCCACATCCATGGGTCTGATCTATATTAAGAGAGCTAATCTAGAGCAAGAAAATTGGGGAAAACAAAAGCTATCAATTTGTGTTTATGAGACAGAGGGGTAAAGCGAGAGGTCATTAAAAAAGAAAGGAAACACAAGGCTTCCGTAAGCCTTTAAACTTCGGTTCGAGTTGGGACCAAAACTGTACATTTTTTGTGAAGATTAGGAATGTTCTTTGATAGCTAGTATATTATAAGGATGCACTTGAAATTATGAGTAAAGATACATTTTGAGTTAAAGCTCTTAGGCTAAAGCTAAAGTATTTAAACCATAAACTTCCAAACAAAAACCGAACTCTATTTTTCAACTTCCTCTTCCATCCTTACCCCACCCTGTTCGGTTACTCAGCTGAGATATGCCTGCCACTGCTCTGGTCTTTCCTTTAAATTCTTGACGTACCAAAGAAAATGCAATACCTTTTTAGTACAAATAGAACATCTATAGCCCAGTAGTGGCCTGTTAGATGAACCACAATTTGGTCACAAAGAGAAACTATAAGTACATGAAAGACCCTAATTGCAAACAAAAACCAGGCTACAGGCTTAACAAGAAGTAGCTAAACTACAACATTGGAAATGGCAAGAAGAGAAGAATTCTCTAACAAAGTTTAAAGTCACTACATCAAATGTGCAGGTCAGCCAGGATTAATTGTACGACTGCTACTTTGAAAAGTTAATGGAACCTAGAACAATAAAAAATATTTGAAGTACCAGCTCAAACAATTTTTCAGAAATTCTTGAAGCAATATATAGAATAGATCAAAAAGCGAATACTACAAAAACTAGGATAAACAACAGATACTTATACTCGCATATAATCGAGGATGAAATACAAATTCTAAATGGCTCACAATCTACTCTCACTGTATGCCATAGAACAGATACTTACAGCTTCCAAATAATTGAAGTTGATTAGGTGCACTAGCAGGATACTGGAAACCATTCTCGTCCACAAAAATAGGAAGTGGAGTGTTAGTGTTGCTGCCTCTATACATTTTCCAAAGCAAGATCTACTTGGAGACTGAGCAAGTTTACCTGCAGAAGAAGGAAAAGATATATGCCATTTAAACTCACAATCATTGGATCACATTTTAAACAACAATGAGGATCACATTTTAACAACAATGATTAAAAAGACCAGGATATATGCAATAAAAAAGTCATTAACACATATCAAAATTTTTAATAACCACATTTAATCATCATACTATTCGTTTAAGCTGAGAATCGTAAAATAGTCATCTTAAGCCATCCTCCCAACTATCTGTTGTGATCATTTACTCCTAACCAGTAACAGAGTGATAAGTGCATCCACCACACTAGCCATATTTTTTCTTTCAAAAAACAACCGCATGAAACTTATAATTTCCACTTCCCAACTTCACAATATTTGGAACCATAAGACTCACTTCATCTCATTTTAAATGAATAGATCTCCATTCACCCCCGACCACCAGGAAATAAATATATCTATCCATTTCATTTTTATAAAATTAATAAACAAAATCTGAACCAGTCTTGCTGTCGGAAATACAGAAACCAAAGAAATTTTTCCCCATGCAATCTGCAATTCACTGAAACCATAGGTAACATTACCATAATAAACCCAAAGACTCCAATGGAAGATTGCTACATCCCCCTCCCCCCAAACACATACACACAGAGAGATACAGTTTTTGACACGGTTGGCCAAAAATAGGACCCTTTTTCTTTCTGGTCCCAAAACAAAACTATTCCAATAATTCTACAAATTTAGAAAGTCACTGCTCCACACTTAAAGTAAATATAAAATGCAATGTGGTATCAGAAGAAAAACTTTAGTTTGATTAAACCATAAATTCTGATAAATCCATTTTATGAAACTTTTGGAACCATACTCATATCTGAAAACAAGCAAACAAAGGTTAATTTTTTTTATCAAATAACACTAACTTATTTTAGCTCTTAATTTCAATCGATTTGACACACAAAGTACTGGGTTGTTGTTGTTGTGACATACAAAGTACAAACCAAATATTTGATCTTCCTAAAACTATATGCTAATCACAAGACCAATGAAAAAGATCAAAACTTTTCCCTTTTGGATAATATTTTCCAACTGATAAGATTCAATAGTCTGAAAATTAATCAAAATATCCAATAACAAATAAAAATAAAGCTTACCAAAATAATTAAAAAGAGAGCCTGGAGAAAGCTGTTAGGTTGAGCTTCTTCAATAAAAAGAACCCATCTTGATCCTGCAAATTCCTATGCAGTCAGTCAATCAAAATCCCAAAATAGAAAATAAAAGAATAATCCGATCTTGGTAATGTTACATACATGAAACTGCAGATTACGGAATGAGAAACGGATGACGGTTTCTTTTTCTTTTTGGGAAGAAAAAATAAGAGTGAATAGATATGAATAAAGGAGAATTATTTGGTGCAACAAAATGAACAAGGAAGATAAGTTTTATGACGACGAAAGATCAAGAATTAGAGAGAGAAGAAAGGGCTGAAACGTTTTTGGAACAGAAGTGACAGATGTGGGGGGTTGGGGTGGGTGGTGAGGTGGTGTGTGGGACCCATAAACCAAATTAGAAAAGTTTAAAAATGGGTGGAATCACATTCATTCACGCTCATTTCTAAATTGTGCATCTACTCTTCTCACGGGACTTTTCTTATTCTCACAGATTATTACTATTATTATTATTATTATTTAATTTATATTCCTTGGTGTTCCCACCAACATGATCTTTCTGATTCTCTTTAATCAATATGGGGTGTTTTGCTTTTACATTAGTACCCCTTATAAATTAAATAAATAAAGGAGAAACTAATTTAGATGTAAAAACTAAAAGTTCTAAAAAAAGCTATGTACTTATTGTGTCCTTATCTTTTACGTAATTAAATACTAGAAACAATCATGCCATAGTATCTTAATTTCCGATTCCAGTGATAAAATGTCTTTTAATGGTAGTAAAGTTAACATAAATTGGCCTGCTTTAAGATATAAGGCGAAATGGTTTCCTAGCCACTTAAACTTGTCGGGTTTTTTAAAGTTGATACATAAATTTATAACTTTTCCATATGAACACTCGAACTCATTTTTTCCATAATTAATAAACACATCTGATCATTGACCATGTGCGCGTGTATTACACATACACATACATGTCCATCCAGTCAGCAAATGACCAATGAATGTCTTACACGTAAGGGCGCGAAAAGTCAAGCAGCAACTCCTTCTCTTTGACTGCTTTAGCGTTCTTCTTCATCAACAACTGCTTTTCATTATTTTGTTTCACGGGTGGCTCAGCTTGATCGTTTTCCATGTTACTCTTTCGTTCCTCTTCCTTCTTTTCTTCCAGCTTTTTTATTTTAAGGATTCAACAGTTAACAAGATAGTGCCCTAATTTCCTACAATGTTTGCAGAATTTGGGTATGTTTGCAGACCTTCAATTTCAATCACCCGCTTATATAGAGCAAAATTGTAATCTTCATCATTAATGAAGCTGAGAAACACATTTAATTTATCATAAACTCCAATTTTTGCAGATCCCTTCAAAGGAAATTTTTTAGAGAATCTTGACCTATAATTCGGGGTCGGGTCTTCAGAAATCAACCAACAATTGTCCTCTTACATTGAGCCGCCATGATGACATAGTAGTCTCTTGTTTTGAAGATCACTGCCGGCATGCCGTTGTGTGTCGTCTTTCTAGCTTGGAATTTCAGAGAGAATCTGAAGACCCTCCTTATTGAAACTTGAAATCCCCCGGAATCTCTTCTTCTATGCATAATAAAAACATGGAAGAAAACATTGCAGAATTAGGCCCTCCTAATTTCCCTACTTTCCACCATTTTCACGGTCCGAAAAATGAAAAAAAAAATTGAAAATGGAGCTTCAAATTTTTAAAAATGGAGGAAGGGGGTATGTTGTACTGTTGGGCTTTGGGAAGGGGGTTTTCACGCTCCTGTGCGTCGTGTTCCTCACGCGGGCTGCTGATTAGGACCAACTGACGCCATATGGGCATGGTCAATGGTCAAATATGTTTATTAGTTATGGAAAAAACGAGTTCGAGTGTTCAAATGGGAAAGTTATAAGTTTATGTATCGACTTTAAAAAATCCGACAAGTTTAAGTGGCCAGGAAGCCATTTCATCACACTTACGAGAATCAAATATGACTAATTTTGTTAGTTCGACTGTTTTATTACATTATATATAAGATACTATATTTATGTATAGTTCTCCTATTTATTTCGTCTTAAGAATATATTTTCAATTTTCGTTGACAGTCATTTTACTTTAACTGTAGGCTAATATTTATTTTCGTATTTTTAAAAAATGGAACATCGTAAGTTTGTAACTTAGCAACATTAACCGGAGTTGTTCTTGGTACGCGGGATAAGGTAAGAGATTCAATTTATACCATATTTAATTGATGGTATAAATTTAATCCAAACTTAATATTGGATATCTCTACCTTATCCTATCAAATTTGGGATTATTTTATCCTACCTCCCAAATGAGATAAAATAGTCCAGGGATTATAATCCTCGGATTACACTCGATTCAAATATTTGAAGAAGTGCCTTCTTGGAGAAGGTATAATTTAGAAGTCATCTTCTTATTCTTTTACTATAAGATTTACCACTATTATTAACAAATATCAAATGCGTTAAGTAATCAAGTAGTCCCTTCTTCTTTTTTATTGTGTAATTTTCATATATGTGTATTGAGTTTTGATTGTCATTGATGAAATTACGATATGAATGTATTCAATTTTATTTTTATATTGTTTATTTTTACTCGAAATTCTTTCACTAAATAAACTATTAATTAATATGTTTTTTTTTAAATTCGTGATTTTTTTGATATTATGTATGTGTGTCCAATAACATGAACTAGAAAGAAAATGAAAAGTATCTAGATATTAACACTTACAACGGGGAAGTTGATAATTTAGAAGGTAATAGATATTTATAGAATTTAACTGAGATATGAGAAAGAGAATATGTATAATTTAAAGGTTAATGGAACTTTAATTTTTAACATAAATAGAGGGAGAAATTTATTTTTCATGCATTTTACCAAGTGCTAAGAGTATTAACCATTTTTCCATAGTCTTCCTCTTAACTAATGGTCCAAAAAAAAAAGAGGCAAGAGTGGTCAATTACATTGATCTTCGTCAAATACTTAAGGGGTCTCTTCTTCCCATTTTTAAGAGTTAAGAAAATATTGTCTTTAGTTGAATACTAGTATTAGTACCCGCACGATGTGCGGATAATATTATGATTCTGCTAAATTCTATAAATTTAAAAGAACAAAATATATGAATAACTATTGACATAAACTTAAATATTATAACCTCGTATATAGCCGGTGATACAAACAAATAAAAATATAATATGATTCAAAAATAAATACTCATTCCCTTTCAATTTACATAAAATATTTTTCTTATTAGTCTGTTCCAAAAGAATGACACATTTCTGTATTTGGAAATTTTAACTTTAAATTTTTTGTTTTACTCATTTTACATATAATGAAAAGTTCTTACACCCATATAAATATCATGGCCCTATAAAACTATTAGGACCATAAGTTTCAAAAGATTTCATTTTCGTTCTTAAATTTCGTGTCAAGTCAAATTATCTCATCTATATTGAAACTGAGTGAAGTCATACTATATAGAGTAATAACAAATAAAAATAAATTTAGTAATATCTTAATTTAAATTATAAAAAATATATTATATTATTATCTCAACATAATAAATTCTCACATCAACATCAACTTCTACCAACCTAAAATTACACAGTGACAAATTAATATATACATACATGATAATATTAACAATTAATATATTCTAACTTTTGGGAGTTACTAACTTATAAAACAGTTGGATCATAATTTGTTCAATAATTTTACTAGTTACCTCAATTTTAACCACACAATTAAAGTCACATTATTTTTAACAATTTAACTGATACCTTTGGGTTATAGTTAAGATTAATGTATTATAATTAAATAAATATTTACCTACTTTAAATATTTTTCTTCTACGATGCACATGTACTAATACTCTAAAAGAAGATGAGTTCTTACCTGTAATTCTTAATCAAATGAATCTTACCTTATGATTTTACGATCCACTTTATTTTGTGCAAATAGCAATTCCAAATAGTGCAATTATATTCATCTATGTGTTTACCCTATCCAAATCTATTTCATTCTAATTGACACACACACACACATATAATATATATATATATATATGTTGTTCGATCGATTGGCTTATACAATTTGAGAGAACATAAATATCAATAACGCGCTAAAAAGTCATTGTCCATACCTGAGCCATTAGAGAAGAATTTATCCTCTCTTATTATATATTTTAGCATAGCAACTGCTAGCACTAATAGAAAAATAAAAATAAAAAATAAAAAAGATGTATGTATTGCTTCCAAACAATTGAGATATAAAATAAATTATAAAATATTGGATAATTAATTTTATCAAAAGGCAACACAATTGACATTTGTTTAGCCAATGTATGAGTCGATTCATAGTTAAACATTATCCCTAAGGTAGTTACGAAAGTTAAGTTTTGATCCAACAACTCGGTAATTATGGTTATGGGTTCGAGCCTAGATTTTTTAGTCTTATTTCTAGTAACAAACATGTTTTTGTTTTTCCTGTTATTTTTGTTGTGAACTCAAATTTTAAAAAACTCTTTCTCATTATTTAGAACAATTCGCCTCACTCGTTGAGCCTCCCGTTTGAATTGGAACATTTATGTGTTGATTAGCTTTCCTAATTAATTAATCAATCAATTCAAATTTAACTTTTTTCCATTCAGATTCAAAAGAATCTTATTTACTATCTTTCTATTTAAATTTAAATAAATATTCTGTCTTTCAATCTAAATTAAATACTATAACAAATATTGTCATAATTTTCCAAGTGGCTTTATATTAGTTTGCCACTTGGCTTAACCATAATGCACACTTGCTATATTGCCATGTAATTTTTTATTAGTTTATCGCGTTACTTAATGTCCTTACTCATTGCTCTACTTTTAGTATAATATAATGATTATAGTTTTGTGTTACCCTAAAATTTAATTTAGTATTGTTCTTTTGTTCCTTAGCTCCAATTACTTTGTTTAAATTTATCAATAATATTATTTTTTCTATTTAATTATTTTATTAAAAAAACTTAAAATGTAGACCCCTTCACATTACTTCTATTCTCCTCTATATACATTATTTTCTATCATATAATATTTTAATTATTTTTCACATTTCGTGTTGTATCTATATTATAAACATTATCGTATTATTTTTCTAATTCTTTTGAAAATATAAAAGTTTGAACGAAGAAGTTCTTTTATTATTTTCCATAAATCTACATGTTTAGTAATTATTATTTAGTATTATGTGCAATAAGCAACTAATTTTTTTTCTTTTGTTTTCATATAGAGTTTTGACTTTAAATTTTTTATAACTTAACTACATGACAATTGTAATTACATCTTTATATT